AACATCAAACCTAGTTGTGAAACTAGAAGCATTTTCATGAAATTTAGGTACAAACAAATCTATCCACTCTCATAACTTCTAGTTTATTTTATACTAGAGGTCCTGTCCAATGCAATAGGACAAAAAAAAAATCAAAGATGTAATCATAAAAGTTGTAACTAGAAAGATATTTTATATATATTTATATGATTGCATTAGCTTCTTAAACATCCAAGAGAATCCACAATCTAATAGATTTAAAAAGAGAATCAAATTCAAAATACTTGGTATTTACTCAAAGGAGTTAAAGACTTTGGTCTACACAAAAATTGCACATGGATGTTAAAGAAGCTTTATTTATAATTGCTAAAATTTAGAAGAACTAAGATGTCCTTCAGTAGGTGAATGGTTAAAAAACTGGTACATCCAGACAATGAACCACTATTCAGCACTAAAAAATGAGCTATTAAGACATGAAAAGACACAGAGGAAACTTAAATACATATTATCAAGTGAAAAGTCAATCTGAAAAGGCTATATACTATATGATTCCAACTCTGTGACATTCTGGAAAAGGAAAAACTATGGAAATAGTAAAAAGATCTGTGTTCTTAGTGTTTGGGAGAGAGGGCAGGATGAATAGGTAGAACATAGTGGATTTTTACGGCAGTGGAACTACTCTGTATACCAAAATGATGCATACATGTCATATATATGTTCAAACCCAGATAATGTACACCACCAAGAGTGAACCCTAATGTAAACTATGGACTTTGAGTGATAATAATTATTGTCAATGTAAGTTTATTAGTTGTAACAAATGCACCACTCCGTGGAGGATATTGATAATGAGGGAGGCTATGTATGTGTAGGAGCAGGGAGTATGCAGGAAATCTCTGAGCTTACTGCTCAATTTTGCTGTAAACCTAAAACTGTTCTTAAAAATAAAGCCTCTTAAAAACAGAAGATCAAACAAGTTTGCTAAGGATAAAATGAATCTTAAATACATAATAATCTTTCTATTATACCAGTAATAATTAACTAGAAAACATAATAGCATAAAAGCTATAATGCATAAAACTAATAATATAATATATTTATTCTTCATTATGGACAACTAACAATTGTTAAATCCACATGTTCAAATTAATTTCTACCTCCTTCTATGGTCTTCTTTAATCAGTAAATGAAAACACCAAAACACCATCCTTCTAGCCTAGGTCAAAAACTATGGAGTTATCCTCGATTCCTCTCTCTTTTATATCTCACATTCAATCAGTCAGCAGCATCTGTTAGATTTGTTTTCAAAATATATCTACTTATCATCACCTCCACTGTTAGACCCTTGGGTCCAAACCACCATACTTTCTCCTTAGTCTCTGTTTTGCCTTTGTCCTTCTATAGTCTCCTTTCCATGTAGTAGCCAAAATAATCTTTTCACATGTAAGTCAGATCATGTCACCATTCTGCTCAAAACCTTACAATAGCTTCTCATCTCATTTGGCATAAAGTCAAAGTCCTAAGGTTTATACAAGATCTCACCCATTGATATTGCTCTAAGTTTATTACTTTCTACTCCCCTCTTCACTCATTCCATTCTATACATAGTCTCCTTACTGGTCCCCTACAAAGTATGTTACCATCATTGCACTTGCAAGATGGAACATTTTTCCTCAAGAAATCTATACAGCTCATTCTCTCACTTCCTTTAGGTTCTCTTCTTAAATGTCTCATTATCAGCTTGACTTTCTTTGAGTCCCTCATATAAAATAGTAATTCTTTAATGTTCTACCAACTCCTCATCCTTGACATTCTCTATCTCCCTTATTATTCTTTATTTTCCTCAGTGGCACTTATTCCCAAGTAACACACCAAGTGTTTATTTTATTTTTTTTCTTATTGTCTGTATATCCTCCATTAAATGGAGATTCTATGAGGACAGGTACTTTTTTTACCCCATTGTTATATTTCCAGCAACTACAACAATGTCTGTTTTGTAGTATGTATTCAAAAATAATATTGAAAAAATAATGTGTTGGTTTTTATGTCATTCATTATATTTTCCCTTATGGTTGAAACATATAAAAAGAAATAAAACAGGGTGCCTGGGTGGCTCAGTCGTTAAGCGTCTGCCTTCGGCTCAGGTCATGATCCCAGGGTCCTGGGATCGAGTCCCACATCGGGCTCCCTGCTCGGCAGGAAGCCTGCTTCTCCCTCTCCCACTCCCCCTGCTTGTGTTCCTGCTCTCGCTATCTCTCTGTCAAATAAATAAATAAAATCTTAAAAAAAAAAAAAAAGAAATAAAACAAGTTCTAAAGAAAAGTGAACTAAACCTTGAATATTCTTCAGATAGAACATTTCATGTAAATAATGTAGTATATTTTTCTCTTCCATTTCTTAGTATTGCTGTTGTTAGGGATAACATATCTGATTTAAGAGTACATACAAAAGTTTGTCTTGTATCACAAAGCTTTAGTGAATTGACTTACCATCATTAGGAATACAAAAAGGAATTTGGATTTTGTCAGATTCAAGCTATTAAACCATTTAAACAAAAATCTCATTTCACTGAAGGATGTAGGGGAAAGCATTTATTTAAACTTCCTCAAGTTTAAAATAAAAAGCAATTTTTCCTAGGTAAAGTTGACTTTATCACAAAATGAAAGTCTCATATTTTTTGAACTGTTAATATTCTTTTCTGATCTTTAAAAATCAACAATATCCCAACCATTTTGTTTCATTCAAGAATTAGAATGCAGTAGACAAATAGCATAGAATATGACTGACATCAGTGAGAATGGCAGAATAAAAATGTCATAAAAACTGCTCCTCCAGAAAAACAATGAGACCACTGGCAAAGATTATCAAAATAAACGTTTTCAGAACTATGGAAATTAAAAAAGAAATCCATGGCAATCTGAGGAGTGCATATTTAAGAGAATCAGCTGAATCTTAGTAAGAATGTGAGCTTTGTTTTAATTTGCCCTACTCTCATTTCCCTCTTCTCAGCTCCACCATCAGCTTGAAACCAACAGTTCCATAAACCAGCAGGCCAGCAATGTCTGGAAGGGGCAGAATGTTTTAGAGCTCCCCAGAAGAACCATTTCAGGGAATTGTGATTATTTGACTTGTCTGCCAGTTCTCTAAAAAACCTTTCTTCACAGTGGTTGTCTTTATTGGACCTGATTCAGAGCTGTCTCAAGCAGTCTTTTTTTGTCAAAAACATTTATTATTTGTCAGAAACAGTCATCAGTGATTGTTTAATATTGCAGTTGTTGGAGGAGGCCATAACCATAACAATTGGAGTAAATAAGAAGCTAACAATAAAAGTTTAAAATTAAGGTTAAAAGCTGAAGAAGGCGATGTCTACATGGGGCTTTAAAAGCTCCAACATGTTCCTGGGAATTTAGAAGGCTATCCACGCATATGTAAGACTGTTTGCATGCTCTTCTAGACCTGAGAAAGCCTTAATCTCTCATCTGTGGCTTACCTCAAGGTTCTGAACAAGCAGGAAGCAAAGGCTAAGGCAATATAGACTGCTGCCTGAAATGTTAAATATGTGCCCCAACATGCACACAGAGCTCTTCACCAAAGGCTGGAAGACTTACTGAGTACAGAAACTTAAGGATATCTTTTGAGTACAGAAACTTAAGGATATCTCTGTCTAAAAATTAGCTGACCATTAAGATAACTAAGCAGTGATCATAGCTGACAAAGAATATAAACTATACAGGTTTAGTTCAGAAAAGCCACTAAATAAATAACAACCACCACCATCATAACAAACAGCAACAAAAACCCCTGTGGTGGGGACAGAATCTGATTTCCAGAGTTGCCATATTCTATTATTTAAAAGGTAAAGTTCTCAACAAAAACAATTATGAGATGTTGGACTTGCTAGACAAAGACTCTAAATCAGCTCCTTTAAATATGTTCCAAGAACTAAAAGAAACCATGTCTAAAGAAATTAAGGACCAATGTCTCATCAAATATAGAATACTACTAAAGAGAATTAAGGAAAATGAATCAAATAGAAATTATGGAGTTGAAAAGTTGAAAAGTTGAAAATTATGGAGTTGAAAAGTTGAAAAATAAAGTGAAAAATTCACTAGAGGGGCTTAAAAGCAGATATGAATTGGTAGAATAATGATCAGTGAACATAAAAATAGGTCAAGTGAAATTATCCAGTTTAAGGAGCAGGAAGAAAAAAGAATGTATAAAAATGAACAGAGCCTATGCAACTCTGGGACATTATCAACCACAGCCATAAATAGATAATGAGAATTGCAGAAGAAGAGAAGAGAGAGAAAGGGACAGAAAAAAACATCTGAAGAAACAATGGTTGAAAACTTCTAAAATACACTGTAAAACAATCTACACATCCAAGAAGCTCAATTAACTCCAACTAGGATAAAGAAAAAAAATCCACATTTAGATACACCATACTCAAACTGTCAAAAACCAAAAACAGAGAACCTTGAAAGTTGCAAGAGAACAACAACTCATAAATTGGACATCATCAACATTAAAAACTATGTGCTTCAAAGGACATTATCAAGAAAGTAGAAAGATAATGCATAGAATGGGAGATAATAAGTACAAATCATATATCTGATAAGGGGACCTGTATAGAGAATATGTAAAGGATCCTGGGATTATGACCTGAGCCTAAGGCAGACACTTAACCAACTGAGCCACTGAGGCACCCTTGTCTTTCTCTATTTTTGTAATTCTTCCTTTGCTTCTGTAATTCTTTTAGCATATGACAAGTTGAGATACTACAATTACATAGACAAAATGTGAAGCTTGCTACCTGAAGGAATATATAGAACAATCTTCTTAACTGTAAAACTAAATAGACATAAAGGTTTTCTAAAGTTGCATAAATACAATCATATATTAGAAAATAGTTATATTAAAAGGACATAAGTGATAACATTATTATGAGCAATAATTATGCTACAGTACATTTTTAACAAGTCTTCCTTCAGAGTTTGTAAATTAAATCTGCAGATACATACCAAATCTGTTTTTGGAGGATCTGGACACTCAGTGGAGAAAAAAGGTGTTGAACTTCTGACTCCACTGCTATCAGGAGTTGGCTTTGGAGGTTGAGCATGCTGTCTGTAAGTAGCACTTTTAGGAGTCCAACAAAACAGGTTGATTGATTCTCGCACACAGCGTTCAATGTCAATTTCTAGATAGGAATTTTTTTAAAAAAAGCAAACATTTAGAATTTGAATTGCTATGTCATGTAAAAAACACAATCTTTCCTAAATGCATACATCCAATATGGCTAAGATGATAACCAATTAGAAAAGATGTCAGTGAAAATATAATGTAGATTTTAATCAGCATATATATGACTACAATGGTGGGAGTATTTTATATTATTATATACCTATATATAGACATACATTTACAAATGTGAATATATATACATATATTTTTTGTATATTTTATTTGGTATTACATATATACACACATACGTATATGTACATACATATATATATACACAGTAGATATGTTTGGATATTTCAGTATATCATTATTTAAACATCATGGAATATAACACATCTTATTTAAGAATTGGCCTCATTTACTCTGATAATATGTTCAATTTTTCAAAGTAAAATAGAGGTTGGGGAGGGGAAGGCTAGAATTTGGAAGTGGACAGGCAAAAGATTCACTCCACCATGACTTCCAGTAAAGTATACTAAAAGTTTTATTTTTGCCTATCAAAGGAGATATAAAATAAATAGGGCAAATTTTATTAAAATATCAATTCTCAATTTTTAAAATAATTTACTGAATTAAGTGAAGAAAGGTGTAAGTGAAGTTTCACATATAGAAAAATTGCATGCACTTGGTTAAAATGATAAAAAGAAAGGGTCCATTGATTTGAGCAATGGTAAATATAGTGAAATGTATTTTTTAAAAAGCTCTATAACACTATTAACTTGACACTCCACAAAGAGAGGAACCTAGACACCAACTAGAAGAAAAATTAAAGTTCAAGATAGGTTCTCTAATCCATTTAAGAAGGAAGAGACATGCTCAATTCATTTTAGAAAAATTCCAATTAATATGGTTAAGATAAAAATTTGAAGCTAAAGAGAGAAAACCCTGTCATTTAAAACAAAGTTGATTCATTTAACACTGTTAATCTCCAAAGGAAGAATTTCAGACCATAGGTTTTGCATCTGCAGGGCTCAGATCAGTCTGACACATTTGTCACCCAGTAAAAGCTTGAAGTCAAGTCAATGATCCAGATCAGAGGTTGTAGTTCAGTCATTAAATCACTAGCAATGGGAAAGTCTGTTGTATCTGCTTCCAAAACATCCTACCAATACCATAAAAGGTTTCCAGTGAATCTTGAGAATTTACTGGCATCCACCCCAATTCCACCCTGATTATTAGTACTGGCAGATATCCCATTCTCCATTCACTTGACCTATGTCACCTCTCCATCTCAAAATCCTTCCAAAGTCCTTTGTCATAACTAAAATATTATGCAAAAAGTACTTTGTAAACTGTACATCAAAATATGCAATTATTCTTATAAAGTAATCTCTTATCCTAGGGCACTACTGTTTTTTTCTTTTGCATTATAATTTTGATTAATGCATTGTGAATGAAGCATGTAGTACCCCAGATTATAGTTTCTTAGGTTTGATTCCAAGCTCCATAAAGAACTTTGTGACTCTGAAAAAAACAACTTCTCTAAATCCTGACTTCTTTATCCTCATCCATTACTATCATATCTCTCAGAAAAAGTGAACTATTTCCAAAATAATAAAACACATCTCATATTTCATTTGGGCCAGAATAGGTGGAAAATACATCTCTCCTGAAGACTTCTATACTTTTGCTCCAATGGCTTTGAACTGCTCCCAAGATCTAGTGAACAATTGTTGTCCTGGCACTTCTCTTTACTATCGTCTAATTCCCTTCAGCTCTCCCCTATATTTGATCCCTAATTTGAGAGACAAGACATTATTTACTATTTTTTGATTTACTCCAACATTTTGGCGGACTGCATTTTCTAGCAGCTTCTGTGAAAGGGTGCACAGAAGGCAAATCATTTTGAAATCTTCCATGTCTTTTAATATATTTATTTTGCCCTTGACTGATAGAGTAGGCATAGCATTCTAGGGTTGAATTTTTTCCCTTCAGAGTTAGGCAAAATAGTGCTCCATTGTCTTCTTCTGAGAAGTCTGATATGATTCTGAATTGAAATCATTTGCATGTGATTTTCCCATTTTCTGTAAACTTTTAGGATCCCTGGTGTTCTGAAATATCACAAGGATATATGTAAATATGTTACTTCATTATGCTATTTGGTGGTCCTTTTGTAATCCTTCACCTAACAGAGAAAGTTCTTGTTTGACGTCTGTGGTAATTTCTTTCTTTTTTCCTCTTCTCTCTTATTTAAAAAAAATCTTGAACATCCTGAATTTGTTTTCTAATAATTTGCCTTTTTTTCTTACTTTTCATCTGTATTTTGGTTTTACTCTCTGAGACTTTTCCTAAGCTTTATCATCTAACTCTTTTATTAGAAAGCTCACTGCATTTCCACATCATTTTTAATTTCCAGTAAATCTTTTTTGTTCTTTGTTACTTAAAAAAAAAATTGATTTGTCATAGTTGCAATACCTTCTCATAATTATCTTTCTGAGGATATTCCTTTATTCAGTTTGTGTTGGTCTATGTGTTTTAGTTGGAGATTTTCGATCTATGACTCTACCTATTTAAAAGAACAGCATTAAAAATCAGATTGGAAGTTTTGTATATGTGGGCAGTGTTGGTGACTGGTAGATTCACTACTGGGTAGCTTGGAGACACGGTCATTTGTTAGAAGGCCCCTAAGTAAGGTATTTCTCCTCCTGGGGACATTCTACCTCTCCAGAGAATAATTCTCTAATCCATCTAAACTAATCTTTGCCAGCATTGCCCATGGAGAGTTCTGGACGTTCTAACTACATACATCCCCTCACTTCTGCTCTCTGCTATGCTGTTGACTCTGAATTTCAAGATACTTTGATTCTATTACTCCAAAGAATACTCCTCCAAATTTACTGTTCTCATGGTCATTTTTTTTTTGTAAAACTTGCAAAAGTAAAGATATTTGAGCCACAAACAGTGAAGACTTCTGTCTTTATACCATTTTCCCCTCTATTACACTTCATCTTGTGTTAGGCAACATTATAGTGTCTGGGGACACTTTGAGATATAACTAAGAATAAGCTAAACTAGGAATAATTAGTTTGGTTTAATGGGATATATTTTTGTGATTTGAAGTCACTTCAGGATATTGATAAAAAATTTTCTCCTTGATGAAATTCTAGCCAGATTCCTTTAAGCCCTTTCTTGACTATGCCTCAACTTTGGCTTATAAACACTTGAAGAAAATGCCAGGATAGTCTTTAACAGTTCAAGGCCACATCCCTAGGATGACTGTTCCATCCACCCCCCCACCCCTTTAAGTACCTGCTTGAGAAAAGTCAGGGCTGCCAATATAATTTATTGTTTGTTCCAGGCAACATTAGAAGATAGGGTCTCTGTCTCCCAACCTCTGCGGGAAGGTAGAAACCTAACTTCAGTAAGTGCCAGTTAGCAAACCTAGATGAGTTTCACATGGACCAATGCCCTCCTTCACACTTTTTGTAATTTTTCACTTCCCTGAATCTTTTGAGCACCTCCTCACCCCCAGTACCCACCTACTCCCTCATTCTCCCATTAAAATGCCCAGTTACCTCTGTACAAATTGTTCATGCTGGAATCTTCTTTACTGTAACAGTATATTACTGATTAAAACATGTCCTTACCACTTTAACTAGTCTCTGGCTTTGTTCGATGGTACAGTAAAGTTATTGCTCTAGAAATGACTTCCTGAAATACTCCCATCACCCACTATACAGGTGCAGAGGTTGTAATGCAATACAACATGTCCCAGCACCAGAAGTTTATGGTTAGTAGAAATAGTTGAAATATACATAGTCAAAAATCAGACTTAAAAGTTCTTCCAAACTTTAAACACGTAAAGTGTTGTAAGCAGAGAATGTGATTCTCATTGATGCCTGATCAAAAGAGAAATACTCTAGGAATACTTCTAGAAATATAACTGATAATATTACATATACGTTATAACTGCATTAACTTTTTTTATCTCTTATGATAGGAATTTCACAAAATAGCATTTTTGTGTTTGTTGGAAAGAAATCTGTAGGACCACAATAGGATGGTATTACCTGTGTAAAGTCATATGGGTTATGTATTCCCACTATCAATAATAAAAAACAAATTTCAACCAAAACTGCCAATAGAAAAACTATTTTTTGTATAGAAAATATGTACAATTATTGTCATGTGACGAGATCATCAATGAGTATGAAGCAAAAAAGAAGGAAAAAATATAGAGGTATCTGACATTTAATAATTAAAATGTTATTTTTGTTTTGTAATTTGTTATGCTCTCTTTACTCATTCTCAATATTCTTTTAATGGTCTAATTTTGTTATGTAATGTAATCTTCTTAGAGAGGGCCATTTCTTTGTTGTTTAGGCTTCAGGCCCACACAACCTGGATCTTCCCCTATCTTCTAGTGTTCTGCTAGGTGGCAGAGAGTAGACTGTTCGCTAGCAAGGTGGGTGCAAAGATCTACAGGGGTGGGAGAAATGAAACTACTCTTTATGCATACATTGAACTCATTCTTCTCTGTTTTTTTTCCTGCCTCATTTTCTTTTTTTTTCTCTGTTATTTTTTTATTGTTATGTTAATCACCATACATTACATCATTAGTTTTTGATGTAGTGTTCCATGATTCATTGTTTGTGCATAACACCCAGTGCTCCATGCAGAGCATGCCCTCTTTAATACCCATCACCAGGCTAACCCATCCCCCACCCCCCTCCCCTCTAGAACCCTCAGTTTGTTTTTCAGAGTCCATCGTCTCTCATGGTTCATCTCCCCCTCCAATTTCCCCCCTTCATTCTTCCCCTCCTAATATCTTTTTTTTTTCTTAACATATACTGCATTATTTATTTCAGAGGTACAGATCTGTGATTCAACAGTCTTGCACAATTCAGTGCTCACCATAGCACATACCCTCCCCAATGTCTATCACCCAGCCACCCCATCTGTCCCACCCCACCCCCCACTCCAGCAACCCTCAGTTTGTTTCCTGAGACTAAGAAT